AATTTTTTTTTTGTATTTTAGTAGAGATTAAATATCACTTTGTTGAGCAGGATAGTCTTGATCTCCTCCTTTTGTATTTTAGTAGAGACTACCTTCACCATGTTGGCCAGGATGGTCTCAATCTCCTGACCTCGTGATTCACCTGCCTCAGCCTCCCAAAGTGCTGGGATTACAGGCATGAGCCACCGCACCCGGCCAGAAGTTCACATATATTAACCTGATAACACCAAGACAGTAACTACTTGTTTGTCTGTTTCTTTGTTTGTTTGGAGACAGTCTTGCCCTGTCACCCAGGTTGGAGTGCAATGGCATGATCTTGCCTCATTGCAACCTCTGTCTCCAGGGCACAAGCAATTCTCATGCCTCAGCCTCTCGAGTAGCTGGGACTATAGGCATGCAACACCACACTTGGCTAATTTTTGTATTTTTACTAGAGACGGGGTTTCACCATGTTGGCCAGGCTGGTCTTGAACTGCTGGCCTCAAATGATCTGCTCACCTCAGTCTCCCCAAGTGCTGGGATTACTTACAGGCTGAGCCACCACACCTGGCCTCTGAGACAGTAATTATTTTATTTTTTATGATTAGAAAACTAAAGCATAGAGAGATTAAGTAACATGTCAATAGTCACACAGCTAGTAAACTTATGAGCCAGGATTTGAATATGAACTGAATTGGAGAAAGTTAAATCTGCCCACCACTACACTTCCCGCTCCCCCTGCCCAACTGTCTAACCCGTGCCCTCGTTTTCCACCCCATAAAATTCCCCAGAAACCAGTCTCAAGCTGTGTACCTCTTTCTCTTTCGCTCGGATGTCATTCAAGAATTGATATGTTTTGTCAAACACCTCAGGATTATATTCCCCTGACAGATCATCAAAGCGAGGGTCCCGGGCTACCTTTGGAGAGAACAGAGAGAATATAATACACAACTGTTCAATCTCCTTTCACTGAGAAAAAGTGCTTCCTGTCTCTTCCTCACCTTTCTTTTTTTTTTTTGTTTTTTGAGACGCCATTGCCCAGGCTGGAGTGCAGTGGCACGATCTCGGCTCACTGCAAGCTCTGCCTCCCGTGTTCACGCCATTCTCCTGCCTCGGCCTCCCGACTAGCGGCGACTACAGGCACCCGCCACCACGCCCGGCTAGGTTTTTTGTATTTTTAGTAGAGACAAGGGTTTCACCGTGTTAGCTAGGATGGTCTCGATCTCCTGACCTCATGATCTGCCCGCCTCAGCCTCCCAAAGTGCTGGGATTACAGGCATGAGCCAACATGCCCGGCCTCTTTTTTTCTTATTTTTATTTTTGAGACAGAGTCTCACTCTGTCCCCCAGGGTTTAAGGCAGTGGCATGATCCTGGCTCACTGCAACCTCCACCTCCCAGGTTCAAGCGATTCTTGTGCCTCAACTTTCCAAGCAGCTGAGACTACAGGCGCACACCATCATGCCCAGCTAATTTTTGTATTTTTAGTAGAGACGGGGTTTGACCGTGTTGGTCATGCTGGTCTTGGAACTCCTGACCTTGTGATCTGCCCACCTTGGCCTCCCAAAGTGCTGGGATTACAGGCATGAGCCACCGTGCCTGGCCTTCTTCCTTACCTTTTTACTGATGGGAACAACCTGACGTAAAAATGGTACTCGGATCTTGGCTGACATTTCCAGAGGCCTATGGAGAAATTAAAGGCCAAGTCAAAAGGACTCCAGTGTTGGTCAAAGACTTCCCACTTGTCACCCAAGACAACATACACCTATTCAAGGTCCCAGTTATCTTCCAACTTCTAGGGCAAGCCTTGCTTACCTGTGCTTATCTGCAACACATGCATTTTGGATAGGTGGTCTAGAACCTTGTTTCTTAGGGCTGTTTCCAGCTACCAATTGTTTGTACGTCTTAGTCCCCACTTGGCTCTGCAATTCCAACAGTTCCTCAAATGACATGTTAGATGTGCCTGTGGAAGTGGGGAGGGACATACAACTCAGCTCAGCATGTCCCACTGCAGAAAAGACATCTTCCCATCCCCATTCCTTAGCTACCTAATCCTTTATAATACCCCATCAGACCAATCATTATTACAAGTCCTAGGCAGTAGAGGCTGTAATAGTGTTAAACTGACACCTAACTCTCCAACTTTTTCAGCAACTTGGGGCCTCATCTTGCTAAGGAAGGTGTATATGTAAGGTCAAAGGTGGACCAACCATAGTCCCTTCTTTTTCCACTCTCTTTTACTCATTCACGGGTTTCTCCAGAAGAGCCTCTGCCTCCCTTGCTCAGTTACCATTGCCAGTGTCCTGGTCCATACGCTCAGCATCTCTCACCTCAATCAGTGCTCTAGCCTCCCAACCCGCCAGTCTCACTCCTCTCAAAGCTATGCGCCCCAATTCAGCCTGAGAGAGGCATTGAAAATAAAATCAGATCTTATCACTCCCACACATAAACTTCAGATCATGTTACTCCTATAGGCAAAAGTCCCCAATGGCTTCCATTTTGCTCATAGTAAAAGCCATGTGCCTTAATAATGGCCTGGAAGCCCCCAAGTGACCTGGCCCCTGTCATGTCTCTAAATTCATCTACTCATCTCCTTCTCACTCCTCTCAACGTGTCTCCTAGCAGTGTGTTCCCACCTCAGTTCCTCTGCACATGTTGCTCTGCTTGGTATACTTCCCCTAGAAGCTGTACATAGGTACAGCTCCTCCCTCAGCTCCTTCAAGCCTTTATTCAAATCACCTTCCCAAAGAGGTCTTCTCTAAGTTATTTAAAACTGCAACCCCTCACCCAGGTGCGGTGGCTCACACCTGTAATCCCCGCACTCTGGGAGGCCAAGGCGGATCAATCACCTGAGGTCAGGAGTTCAAGACCAGCCTGGCCAACATGGTGAAACCCCGTCTCTACAAAAATACAAAAATTAGCCGGGCATGATGGCAGGTGCCTATAATCCCAGCTACTTGGGAGGCTGAGGCAGGAGAAGAGCTTGAACCTGGGAGGTGGAGGGTACAGTGAGCCAATATCATGTCACTGCACTCCAGCCTGGGCAACAGAGCGAGACTCTATCTTGGAAAAAAAAAATTGCAACCTCTCCTCAGCTTTATTTTTTCTCCATATCCTCTATCACCTTAAAAAAAATTGAGCTATAATTCATATTCCACAAAATCTAGTTCTTTAAAGTCTACAATTCAGTGTTTTATTGCCTTTTAATGTAATAATTTACTTGTCTGCCTCAAATGTTATTTATTTTGAGCCGGAGTCTCACTCTGTCACCAGGCTGGAGTGCAGTGGCGCTATCTCAGCTCACTGCAACCTCCACCTCCCAGGTTCAAGCGATTCTTCTGCCTCAGCCTCCTGAGTAGCTGGGACTAAGGTGCGCCACAAAGCCCAGCTGATTATTGTATTTTTAATAGAGACAGGTTTCACCATGTTGGCCCAGATGGTCTCGGTCTTCTGACCTTGTGATCCACCCACCTCGGCCTCCCACAGTGCTGGGATTACAGGCATGAGCCACGCCCAGACTTAAATTTTATTTATTTTGAAAAAAGGTCTTGCTCTGTTGCCCAGGCTGAAGTGCAGTGGCCTAATCATTGCTCATTGCAGCCTCGACCTCCTGGGCTCAAACTATTCTCATGCCTTAGCCTCCTCAGTGGCTAGGAATACAGACGTGGGCCACCACCCTGGCTACATTTTATTTTTAGTAGAAAAGGGGAGTCTCATTATGTTGCCCAGGCTGGTCTTGAACTCCTGGGCTCAAGCGATCCTCCTGCTTCAGTCTCCCCTGGTGCTGGGATTACAGGTGTGATCGTCCACCACACCCGGCCAGGACAGGAGTGTTTGACTACTTCATTCACAACTGTATCTCCAGCAGCTAGAACTGTGCCTTAACAAAAAGCCTGCAGCATTTGCTGGGCCCAGTAGCTCATGCCTGTAATCCTTGGGAGGCTGAGAGGGGTGGATCACTTGAGCCCGGGAATTGGAGACCAGCCCTGGCACCTGGTAACATGGTGAGACCTTGTCTCTACATTAAATAAATAAATAAAACCATCCATCCAGGCGTGGTGACGCGCCTGTAGTCCCAGCTACTCGGGAGGCTGAGGTAGGAGGATCTCTTGGGCCCGGGAGTTCGAGGCCGCAGTGAGCCGTCATGGTGCAACTACACTCCAGCCTGGGCGACAGGGCAAGACTTTGTCGCAAAAAAATAAAAAATATAAAAAATTAAAAAAACAAAGTCCACGGAATCTGCTGAATTCTGACCTACTAAGCCTTCAGCTGCCATCCATGCCTTTTTCTGCCTCCATACTATTGCACATACGTTCCCCATTGCCGAAAACTCTCATCCTGCCGTGAAGAAACTTCTCAGGATGTCCTAATCCCGGAAGCAATTCCTCTCACCCCCACTTTCCATTGCACCGGGGGCGCCCCTAGCGTAGCGTCAGCCTCTCACAGAACTTGGCAGTCTTACTGGCACGGTCTCTGCAGGCTCGGGGCCCCGCCTGGGAGTCCTCTTCTCCTCCCCAGCCCTCCCCGCCCCGTGCCCTCACCCCTCAGTAAGTCGCGGGCCGCGGCCCCAGGCTCCAGGCCCTCGCCGTCCTCCTCACGGTCCCGGCCCCCGCGAGTAGGTCGGGCCCCGGCGCCGGCCCCGGCGCGGCGGTTAGCTCCAGGCATCAGCGTGCAGTAGCGCTCGGAAGACAAAAGGCGCCGCTTCCGCCCACGGCAGCCTCCGCCCCACCCCCGCCCCGCCTCTTCCGGCGTTCCCAGTGACGACTGGGCAGAAAATAGACTGCGCGGGGCCAGGGAGCTGGCCCAAAGGATAGCCCACTCTGGAGAGATTGTCGCAACCTTCTGCCCGAGTCGCAGGGAGCTGGGTTCCAAGCCCGAGAAGCTTGGGCCAGGCCTTGGTGGCATTTGGTTTCCTAATACCCTTGGCTGAGAAGCCAGAACCTCAGGGTGCTTGTCCTCAGCACCCTGCCCCCACTGCAAATTCCAGCCCTCTCCACCGTATTCCACAAAAACACACGACATGTTTGGAGGTTTTAATTAATTTTTATAAAATCTGAGCTGGCTGAGCTTCAGGGTACAGCGACAGCTCAAGGAAGGATGGGATTATCTGCTGGTCCCCGCCTCCCCAAGACGGGGAGAAGGAGGTCTCATGCCAACAGCTGCAACTCCTTTCAGCTCCCAGTCAAGGCTCAAGGCTCAAGCAGGGGGACGGGATAGGCAAAGGGGGAGGGGGAAGCTCCTGAGGCTCAGACACTGCTTGCTTCTCCCTTCTCCCCATTCCCTTCCCTTCCCAACAGAACCTGGCTGGCCCTGGGCAGAGCTGAGGCCCAGGAGCAGCTGAAAGGAGGTGGATGGGGACAGAGCACCAAGGGGAAGGGGCCCTCGGCCCAAGGGGGGAGGAACCTGGCCCCCACCCCGCTACAGCTCCCCACTGAATTCACAGCACAGAGAACACCTCTCGCCCAACAACTCCACATGGAGGTATACCAAGTCCAGGGGTCAAAGGAGCAGGTGGGTGACAGATGGGCAGGGGCAGTGAAGATGACAGCAGGCTCAGGAGGGGAGGTGGCAGAAACTTCCTCCTACCCATGGGAGGAGACGATGGGGCGACTTATATTGCTGTTGGTGGTCATGGCATTCAGCTCCCACCTGGAAGGCCAACAATAACAGACAGAAAGAAGAGGGGGCCCTCAGCCCAAGCCCAGGGATGCTTGAACCAAGCTATAAACACACCAGTCCCTCCAACTTCCTAAAGCTCAACCACCCACAGCCATCTCTTACTTAACAGCCCTATTAGGTTTAACAATCAGAACCCACCCACCACCAAATCCAACACCACACACTCCTCTACCTCCAAGCTCATATGGATTTCCAGTTTATGGTTTTTTTTTTATATATATATATATATTCTAGTGTCCAGGCACCTGAGATCTGTGTAAACATGTCAGTCAACATCCCAACCTGCCTTTCCTGCTTTGCTTAGAGCCAACCAGACAGCCCCTCCACCTTACCCTCACCAGGAATGCCTCACCTCCACCAGGAATACCCATTTTTGCTCTCAACTCCCATCCTTTTAAGGCTCTGACTCAGCACTCCTATCCTTCCTGAGGCCTTCCCCACCCATTAGACCATGTTATTATTATTATTATTATTATTTTTTTTTTTTGAGAGTCTCGTTTTGTCACCCAGGCTGGAGTACAGTGGTGCAGTGGCACAATCTCGACTCACTGCAACCCCCGCCTCCCGGGTTCAAGCAATTCTCTTGCCTCAACCTCCCAAGTAGGTGGGACTACTGGTGGCTGCCACCACACCCAGCTAATTTTTGTATTTTTAGTAGAGACAGGGCTTCACCATGTTGGCCAGGCTGGTCTCGAACTCCTGACCTCAAGTGATTCGCCCACCTCAACCTCCCAAAGTGATGGGATTACAGGTGTGAGGCCCAATGCCCAGCCAGCAAGAGTTAAACTGAACTGATACAAAGAGAGGAAGTATCTCAGAATGACCCAGACAGGAAAAATTATATACAAAGTAACATCTGGTGGTTAACTTGAACCTGAAAAATTATATATAAAGTAACATCTGGTGGTTAATTGGAACCTAAGAATTAAATTCAAAGGGAAGCAGCCAGATCTTCTGGAACCAGTGTGATCCAGAGGCTCCTAAACTTGTCTTTACTCTGCAGCTAGGTTCTAAGATTTAATCAGTTCTCAGCATGTTCACAAAAATAACTGTATAAGCTTAGGTCTCAGAAAGTGACGCTGTTGAGGTGGATTTTTTTTTCATATAATTTATTCTGCTGACAGTTTTATATGATGGCTGTCAATTCACCTCCTTCCATCTCATTTCGCACAAGTACACTACATCTCCAGCAGAACAATAATGTCTGTCTCCTCCATACTGAGACCAAGCTAATCAGGTCACACCTGTGCTGCTCACTCACGCTCACCCAATCCCTCCCTTCCAGCCACTCACTGTACCTGATGTCATGAGGCAAACAGGACTGGTCTAGGTTATATTGAATCACGGCCAGTTTGCACAGAGTCTTCAGACTAGGGCCTTTAAGGGAGAAGTTATGGAAAAGAGATGGTCAAAGGTGAGGAAAGGGTCCAGTCCTGGATATCACCACCCAAAGACAGGGACCTTGATGGCAGGAGCAATTCAGGAATAAGTAACTATACTTACTAAAGTCCAAAATGTGTAAGTCAGAATGATCTATAAGGTCAAATTCATCTCCCAGGCCTTCCTCAGGAGATGGACTGTCAGGATCAAAAGAGAGATGAAAGTAGGACAAAAACTACCCATGAGACCCCCTTTTCAAACACCTCCCACTCTCCCACTGGTCACTTCCCTGAGCCCTTCCCTCTCTTTCTAACCTGGTACCCCCAAAGAGGACAATCTTGTCACCAACAATACAGCAGCACTGGCGCCGGCGGGGACATGGCCCCTTCCCCTTCGGTTCAATCTTTTTCCAGGTAAAGGACACTGAAGAGAAATTTATATGGAAGTTCAATACCTGCCTAGTCCAGGTATCTTCCCCACCCCCATCCCTCACCTCCTCAGGATTATTTTCTTTTCCTCCCACCTCAATTGCTCCTTGTTCCTGCCCTAAACGCAGTGCTCTTTACCAGGATTAAACTTCCAGAGGTCATGGAAGTGCCGGTTCAGCCTTGCATTATAGCCACCAAAGATGTACAGCTCCCCATTGTAGCCAACTGGAAGGAGAGAGAAAACATCAAGAGTGTGAAGAGGGCAGGAAGGGAACTCCACAGGGAAGTAACAAACACTCACAGGCCGAGTGGCTCCGGCGCCCCTCAGGCAGCACTGGAGTCGGGGGACAGTCCAGCCAAGCCTCAGTTCTGGTGTCAAAGACTCGAATGCGGTTGCAGTAAATCTCATTGTTGGAATGGAATGGCCCAAAGCGGTCGGCACGGCCCCCAAAGACATACATGTGACTTCCCAGCATTGTGGCTGAGTGGAAGTCCCTCCAGCGTGCAGGGTTGCCCTGGGCAGAGGCAGAGAGATGGTGGAGGGGTCAGAACAAAGGCTGGAAGAGCATCTGCTCTGACTGAGCTTCCTATCATTTCTTCAACGGAGGGTGGGGATTTGGGAGAAAAAAGAAAGAGCAGACCTTTGTACAGATAAGAGTCCATGTCATGGTGCTGGTATCTAGCTTGTGAATGTCATTGGAAAAGCAGTCCGCCTGAGTAGGAAGAGAAAAGGAGGAAGAAAAGAGGGAGCCAACGGTCACTCTCTGACCCTCCATCCCTCCCCTCAAAACTTGTGCAAACAAGCCAAAGCCTCCCATTTCACTATCCAAAATTGCCCTTCCCCTCTTTCTCAGTCCCACCCTAAACCTCTTAGTTTATTCCCAGACCTACCTGCTGCTCGTAGCCCCCGAAAATGTACATGATCTTGCCTAGGACACAGGCCGAATGTCCATCCCGGGCCCCAGGAACTGTCCCTGACACTCGGGGTGTGAACCACTTGTGAGTATCTGAAGGAGATGAGAAAATGGCTCAACTAAGCACCCTCTACGACACTCCCTCCTGAGCTCTGGGGTACTCTACTCCCCAAGACCCCCAACCCAAACCTTTCTCAGGCAACTGAGGCAACATCTAGAAGGACATAGCCTCTCTGAGATCCATACTCACTGACGTCAAAGGCATACAGCACATTGCAGGCCCCTTCGGTGTCATTCCGCCCGCCCCAAAGGAGGACTGTGTCATCAATGAGGACGGTTGAGTGTCCATAGCGCATGTAGGGTACGACAGGAGCTTGCCCGCGGATGGCAGACTTCACGGGGGGCAGCTTTGTCCAACGCAAGGACACTGTGGGCACAGCTCTGCTCAGCCCTGGGAACTTCCCTCCAGGCTGTCCACCTTTCCCAAACCAGATGTTCGTCCCCAATCCCCTTGGTCCCAGAGACCACAGTCAAACCTCATCAGCAGCCTGTTTCCCACCCTGATGTGGGGACTCAGGGACAGCCCCAGCACTGGCTTACCTGCATTGAAAATGTGCACATCTATCTGACGCAGCGTCTCATAGTCTTCACCAGAGCAGTAACCCCCGAAGGAGTATACCCGATGCCCGACAGCCACTGCAGCATGGTTCACCCTGCGGGGCCCGCCCTCCAGGTGCACTGTCCACCGTAACATCCCCTGGACCACTGGTTACAGCAACATGCCCCCCCGGCACGGCCTGCTGCCTCTGCTACCTGCACACAAATTGGGGCCACAGGATCCTCAGGCAAGGCTTCTGCCCAGCTCACTGTGACTCTGCCCAGAACCAGCCTTTGCCTCCAAGTGTCACCCTGGTGGCCCTCCCACACTACCCCTCCACAGGGACACTAGTCACAGCTCAGGTGGCTGGCCCTGCCCCAAGGGAGCTGCCGAGGTCAGGGAGCTAGCCCTGGCCCAATGTTCTCCAACAGTGAAGGGTGGGGCCACCCCCACTTGATTGCCAGCTCAGAATCTGCTGATTATGGTCACCACCTACTCGTGGAGGCTCCACTCTGTCCCTGGCTTGGCACAAACTTGAAGCCCCTTCCCAAATGGTATATTCTCTTGTCTCTGCTCTGCTTACTGCCACCTCTCTAAGAATCTGTGTTCTTTAAGGTGGGGAAAGGGATCTCAAAATACTCACAGCTATTAATAGCCCAGCCAGCCTGAGACAGTCCATCGAAAGCTGGCATGAGTGCCTCAAAGCAGAAAAGCTTTCAGGCTTTTAGAGTAGAACAATCCCCCTACCCAAGATAGGGCGGGACTGATCCAGGAAGGGACCTCCATGTTACCGTGGTTGGTTAGCCCCTCACAGGGAGCTCTTGTCAAGCTGAGTTGTTGTCATTGGGGTCACCCAGGGCCCCCCACAGGCACAAGGAGTTCCTTTGACAGCTGTGCCTGGTATGCTGCCAGGACTTAAGCCAGAAAGGTATGTGTATGCTTAGGCTTGGGGGATGGGGATAGAGGGAAGGGTTTTCTCCTCCTGCCACTTCCCCATCCCTGCTACTGTGGTAGAGAACAAGCCATTTCCAGTAGAAAAGAGGGAACAAGGTCTTCCACAACTTGGGCTCCTGAAAGGCGGATAGAGGTGGGAGTGTGCAATGGAAAGGGGAAGGGGCTGAGCACGGTGGCTCACGCCTGTAATCCCAGCACCTTGAGAGGCCGAGGCAGGTGGATCACGAGGTCAAGAGATGGAGACTATCCTGGCCAACATGGTGAAACCCGGCTCCACTAAAAATACAAAAATTAGTTGGGCACGGTGGCGCGCGCCTGTAGTCCCAGCTACTCAGGAGTCTGAGGCAGAATTGCTTGAACTTGGGAGGCGAAGGTTGGAGTCAGCCCAGATCGCACCACTGCACTCCAGCCTGGCAACAGAGCGAGACGAGCGAGATTCTGTCTCAAAAAAAAAAAAAAAAAAAAGAAAAAGGGGAAGGGAGGCAAAAAATGCCCTTGGGCAGGACAAGAGAAAGATCGAGCATGAGAGGTCATGGTCTTTTTTTTTTTTTTTTGAGATGAAGTATCACTCTTGTCCCTAGGCTGGAGTGCAATGGCGCAATCTTGACTCACTGCAACCTCCACTTCCCGAGTTCAAGGGATTCTCCTGCCTCAGTCTCCTGAGTAGCTGGGATTACAGGTGACTGCCACCACACCCAGCTAATTTTTGTATTTTTAGTAGAGACAGGGTTTCATCATGTTGGCCAGGCTGGTCTCAACTCCTGACCTCAGGTGATCCGCCCGCCTTGGTCTTCCAAACTGCTGGGATTACAGGCGTGAGCCACCGCGCCCAGCCGGTCACGGTCTCTTAAACACAACCAGTCAACCTAGTGGCAGGTACACCTGGGTACATCTGAGGTTTTTTTCAGGCAAATCCTTGCAAGTGACAATGCTTTTGCTGGCAGGCATCTCCTGAGTTTGGGTGGATCATCATCTGCTCCCTGTTTAAGAAGCCCTGGCAGAGGAAAGGGCCAGGCAAAACCTCAGGCACAAAAACAGCTCTAATAAGGGAGGCCCCTTGCAGGAAAGAGACATGGCTTTCAGCTGGCTTGCTAGTCCCACCCACCCAACCTCCCCCAACTCCACACCCCAAGCTTTAAATAGCCATGGGGCCCATCCTGAAATAGCCCCAGCAGGAAGCTACTCTCACTTCATTACTCCTGCTCTCCAAAATATCTTGGGTCTGGGCTTGTGGAAATTGTTAGGAGGTCGATGGGCTTAAGAATGGAAATCTTCCATCCTTCCTTATATCCTCTATTCTTCCCTTCAGATATGTCAAGGTAAAGTAAAATATGCACAGGAGAAGAGAAGCAATTCCAGCCAAAGGTGGAGAAAAAATTTTTAGTTTCTCTGCCATAAGAACAACTCAAATTCAAGGAGAACAAGCCCCCAGGCTCTCAGGGGCTCCTCTTATCCCTGGGTCTCCCCAATCCTCCATCACCACCAAGCATTTTCAAGCTTCTTCTATTCCCTTAATATATCTACCCGCCTGGTCTCTTGCATTTTTTATTCCCCATTTCTCGCCCTTCTCGATCTCGTGAGAGCTTTGCAGTTTTCTCATTTTTCCTTCTCCTACCATTCCAAGCTCCACCCAACAGCCCTCCATTTTCCCACCTCCACTAAGGAAAGAAAAATTAACATGCCCTGACCACGGATATCCCTCCCTGCATATGACTCTATCCCTGTCTTCTTCCAGACATTCCGGCCTCCTCTAGCCCACCACGCCAGTCACCCCTCCCCTTCCACTATGCTCAGCTTCCCTGTTTTCATAGCCCAGTCTTCCTTCCCATTTCCTTCATTGCTTCCTCCAGACACCAGGTCTCTCCTACCCATCTCCTGGCCATCCTCACCTAGACCCGCTTTCCCCATTAACACTCTCCTTTCCCATCATCCCCCTAGCTCCCTCCCCACCCCCACCTCATCACTCTCAGGCCCCTCCCCCGCCACTCCAGCTCTAGACAGCGCGTCCTCAGCCCCCTAATTCTTCCTTGCCCTTCCACTCATACCAGGCTACCTGCCAGGCCGAGCCGGGGCGGGGCCGCGGGTCCTCGCGCTGCCTGCAGCCTAGAACCCGTTGCGCGCCAACCGACGCCTTAGTCCCCAACGAGATAAACACAGCCAAGCTCGATTCTTCCGGCGGGCAGCTGTGCGCGCACGTGCAGTAGCTAAGTCCCCGAGGCATTCCGGGACTTGTAGTCCACACGTTTCCTGAGAGACGAGAGGGCTGAGGAGTGGGCAAGGGCGCAGGAGAGATTCTGCGCATGTGCAAATATGTGTCAAGACCGAGGAGGCCACTGGGTAATGCAGTCCTTTGTTTTCTGGGCTGGGCATGACGGAGGCGGGGCAAGGGGGGGGGACTCCTCGTCCTCGCCAGTGTCAATCATGGGCATGGGGCGGGGCTGGAGGACTAGGCACCTCTGCACGTCCTGCCCCGCCGGAAGTAGAGGCCACGGGCTCTGAGCGGGTGAGGCGCGCGGAAACACCGGCGACGGGATTCGGATGGGGGCGGGTGGGGGACGCCGCAGCTGGGGCCATTTGAGAGGAGCCCATGGGGCCTGAAGGGCATCTGTCAGGCGGTACAGGGGGGGACCTCTAGGAGAGGGGAGAAGGGGGCGGGTACGCCCTGTTTAGGGGACTCTGATGACCCAGAGTTCCCAAGTCGCGGGGGAGGCGTGGCGGGGGAGCCGGGATTCTGGAAGGGGTGTCTTTTAGGAGGTGGCAGGGCCTCCGGTTGGGCGTTTAATTAGGAAGTGGCGGAGCAAGGCGGATGGGGCCTGGTTCAAGATAAGAGCCCCGACTAAGGGGGAGGAACGACAGGCTGGAAGCGGGGCGGAGGGGTGGAGGATGCAGGAGCCTTGGGGAGGAGCTAGTTATTTTGCACACAGGAGTCCACAAAGAGATGATGAAAGGATGAACATGGGCCTGGTTTCATCCAATCCCTGTCCTGCCGCCTTCCTGTTCTTGCAGCCCCTACCCGGATGGCAACAGTAGTTCTAGGGGGAGACACCATGGGCCCTGAGCGTATCTTCCCCAATCAGACTGAGGAACTGGGACCACATCAGGGCCCTTCAGAAGGCACTGGGGATTGGAGCAGTGAGGAGCCTGAGGAAGAGCAGGAGGAAACGGGGTCGGGCCCAGCTGGCTACTCCTACCAGCCCCTGAACCAAGATCCTGAACCAGAGGAGGTGGAACTGGCACCAGTGGGGGATGGAGATGTAGTTGCTGACATCCAGGATCGAATCCAGGTAGGGTGGAGGAGGGATGGTTCCTCAACAGGTGAAGCTGGACTCCCTGAAAGCCTGGACCCAAACAGTCTTCTCTGGCTTTGCAGGCCCTGGGGCTTCATTTGCCAGACCCACCATTAGAGAGTGAAGATGAAGATGAGGAGGGAGCTACAGCGTTGAACAACCACAGCTCTATTCCCATGGACCCAGGTAAAAGATCATTCTTTCATTCTAGAATAATTACTAAGGAAATGAACTGGCATGAGTCAGTAGAAGGAAGTTCAAGAGGAAGACCCTATCCTAAAAAGATAGTTTGTAAACTAAGATTTTGTAGACTTCAGAGTCCAAGTGAAATGCTTTTCTGCTAGCTTTGGGGATGGGCAGGCTTGCCTTGAAGTAACAAGATGGATTTGGTGACCCTACCAGCCCAAGGGCTCTGGGTTGATTCAGGGATTGGGGAGGGGAGCTGGTCCCATTATTTCTATACCTGACTGGCCTCTGGCTCTGATTTCAGAACATGTAGAGCTGGTGAAAAGGACGATGGCTGGAGTAAGCCTGCCTGCGCCAGGGGTTCCTGCCTGGGCTCGGGAGATATCGGATGCCCAGTGGGAAGATGTGGTACAGAAAGCCCTCCAAGCCCGGCAGGCATCCCCTGCTTGGAAGTGACCACAGTGAGAGCTGCCTTATCTTCCTACATTCCAGGCCAGAACCAGCACAGGACTGAACACATCCCTGGTTGTAACGTCCATTTCCATCTTCCCCATCTCCCTTTCCACATCAAGGCACATCAGACTTCTCAGAGACCCACTTTATTCAGTTCTGTACATATGGGGACATCGGCCCAAGCCCAACCCACCTTAGCATGTATCACTCTGTGGAGAATAAAGCACCCTATGTACACAGCCAAAAGCCGCACTGCCTGCGCCCCTGGAACCTGGGTCCAGACCTCCTCAGCCCCTGGCCCCTCCAAGGTACCTACAAGGGACAAGAGAAAGGCCTGCCCAGCATAGCACAAACAAGGAAATAAATAGGTGTTGGCAGGAGCCATGCTTGGGGCACCGCTCCCTGCTTCCTTCTTTATAGTTTTGGGAACCAACAGCACAGAAAAGCAGTCAGCCCCAGGTGGTCCCTTCCATGTCTGTGACCCCAGGGCTGCTGCTCACCAAAGACAGGGCATGGGGTAGGGTGTTTGTTCATCCCTCTCCGGCCCCACTTGGTCCATCTGGGCCCTATATTCATCAGTTATTGTCCACAGCCTATACTTTTCTCCTTTTGACCTCCCTTGGTCAGGCATGGGGTAAGAAAAAATAATACAACCCTATCTGCCAGCACACGGCTGCGGCTGGGGGGCCTGTTTGTGCTGCAGGGGGTTGGCTTCCCTCCAGCTACTCCAGGGGCCAATGGGGCTTGACATAACTTTGGTGAGAATAATCTCCGCTGTTCCCTACGTGCCTCTGCAGGGGAGAGAGAGGAGGGGAGACACCTGGCGTTCAAATGAGGATGAAGGGAAGAATAGAGGAGCATATGTATTCCTGTGTGTACTTCTCAGAGCAGCCTCAGGTAGCTGTGGGTGAGGAGTAGGTAGGGGACAGGCATCCCCAGGTTGTCTGAGCACTAAGCATCTTAGTGCTCAGCCTGTACTAGCCACAGGGAGGCATGAACACCTTTTGGGGAGAAGAGGGACCGCTCTGTGGGTGTCCCTGCTTCAAGTGCCCGCATCCCCCTCCCTGGAGTAGCTAGAGAGGCGCTGCCTTCCCCCAAGTCAGCCAGTAGGGAGCAGAGTGTGGAGGGCCGGGGCAGTGTCCCAGGGCTGAGTGGGCTGTGGCCCTGTGGTAGGAATGTGAGGGGTCAGAGAGCCTCCTGGCTGGCAGTTAGAAACTCTTCCGCCCGCTTGTGCGCCTCCAGTGCCTTGATGGTGTACACGTCCTGGGGCAGCTCCGACTTCCTCCGCAGCAGCACTTTCTCCTTCTTGATGTCTTTTAGCATCTGTGTGTGAATAGGGACAAGGAGAGGAACGGTGACCAATTCCCAGTGAATTCTATTGTTTCCTCCCCTTATTCTTTGGCTGTGCTGTTTCCGTCTCCTCTCCCTTCCAGAACTATTATTTCTGCTCCACCCCGCTACACTGCCCTCCCACCTGCACAGCCTCAGTCTCCACAGTCCTCTTCAGAAGCTGGATGTCCTCAGCTGTGGGGGTCTCTGTCTCCATCGAATACACAGGGGGCAGTGGTGGAGGAGCTCGGAACATGGGATACTGGGTGAGAGGAGACATGGACAAGTGGTGAGAGCCGAGGCTTGGAGGCCTGTGTGCCCCATATTCCTCCCCTAACAAACTCTCCCCCAGCTTAAGATGGGCTGGCCCCTCGGTTCACAGCAGTGGCAGGAAAACCTCACCTGGGGATTAAGCCGGGCCAGCTCCTCAATTTTTTGCCACATCTCTTCCCTTTCCTTCATTCGGAACCGGCCCCTGAGGAGCAAAAGTAGGATTGGGTCTGGGCTTGAGAGAAACACAGTGAGCTGGTGGTAGAAGATGAAAGTCTCCCGGGGAGAGAGATACTCACTTCTGCTTCTCTGCCTTGTATTGTTGTGTGCAGTCATCAAACAGCTTCTGATTCATTTCCATAAACAGCTTCAGGGCATTGTAGATCAGTCCATGGATTGTCCTACCACCAGGAAGAAAGATGAGTAGGCCAGAGCCTGCCCTTAGTGCAAGGAACTCAATTTGTTCTCTCACAGGGGTATCTCTGCTAAGAGCTTTGTCGTTTACTATGTCCAGTTCACAAACCTCTATGCAGTATCAGAAGAGAGCTCTGGCCAAATCACCTGGTTTGAGACTGGCATTTCATGGTCTTCACAAATATTGGTCCACGTGTCCATCCTTCCCTCACCCCATGCTCTTCACCCCATCCTTCCCTCACCCCTGCCTACCTCCCATCCTTTCCCACTCTCTAACCCACACTAATGGCCTCCCAGCAGCATGATGGGCGTGTAGATGCAGCATGACAGACTGCATCTGCACCACAGTGTGCTTGCTTTTAGCAGAAAAGTCTTTTCAAAACCCTGAGAGTTTCTTTTTTTTTTTTGAGACGGAGTCTCGCTCTGTCGCCCAGGCTGGAGTGCAGTGGCCGGATCTCAGCTCACTGCAAGCTCCGCCTCCCGGGTTTACGCCATTCTCCTGCCTCAGCCTCCCGAGTAGCTGGGACTACAGGCGCCCGCCACCTCGCCCGGCTAGTTTTTTGTATTTTTTAGTAGAGACGGGGTTTCACCGGGTTAGCCAGGATGGTCTCGATCTCCTGACCTCGTGATCCACCCGTCTCGGCCTCCCAAAGTGCTGGGATTACAGGCTTGAGCCACCGCGCCCGGCCTTTTTTTTTTTTTAAGACGGAGTCTCACTCTGCTGCCCAGGCTGGAGTGCAATGGCATGATCTTGGCTCACTGCAACCTCCACCTCCCAGGTTCAAGTGATTCTCTTGCCTCAGTCTCCCAAGTAACTAGGACTACAGGCATCTGCCACTACGTCCAGCTAATTTTTGTATTTTTAGTAGAGATGGGAGTTTCACTATGTTGGGCAGGCTGGTCTCAAACTCCTGACCTCGTGATCCACCCACCTCGCCAGCCTCCCAAAGTGCTGGGATTACAGGCGTGAGCCACCGTGCCTGGCCTAAAACCCTGGGATTCTTTACACAGACTCTCAAAGAGGGTCACATCAGCTTCTCACTGCATAGAATTACATCTCCAAAGCTGTGATAGGACCTGCAGAATAGCTGACCCCAAGGAGTGGTATAACACAGGCCGCTGCCCTGCTGTTTGGTATCACAGAGATCTTGGTATGCAGGCTTTTTTTTGCTCCAGTCAGCCCCTCAAGGTCCTATCAATATGTAGGGGACATCAGCCCCACTTGCTGGGTGACCAGGTGAGACCCCTGGCTCTTTAGTTCTTCCATACCCTCAAAGTTTCCCAAACTGGATCCCCACCACCCAGCCCCACCCCAGCGCCTTACTTGTTCCAGTGGCTCTTGGAGTTCCTGTAGAGTGCAGGGAACATGATGGGGAGGACTCGGGCAGCATTGTCACTTATCAGGCTCATGATGTACTCATTGTTCCAGTAATAGAGAGCACGCTCTGCCACCTGGTGGAAAGAGGCGGACTCGGTGGGTGCTGCCCGTTTCACTCAAGACCTTCTCAGTTTCTGGCAGGGGTTGGGATGTGCTGGGTTGGAGTCTCACCTGGAAATGGGGGCTAGAGACACACTTGGCCAGCTGGCGGAAGAGGGGTTCCATCACTTTGCTGAACTCGGAAGGTTCAATGACGTCCAGAATCTCCTCCAGCTCATTCAAGAACATCACCTCCTTGGGGCTGTGGGTCTTAGGCCAAAACTTGAGAAGTCCCACAATTACCTGGGAGACAAGGAAGGCATGGGGATGAAAATTCTTTGCACCTGCCTAGGTCTCCAGAAAGTTTTCCTACCTGATCTCTCCCCCACCCTGGTGGGCACAGTTTGGGTAATCTCAGCCAGCTGCCGGTTTCTTTGCCTTAGATCTGTTTCCTAGGTGTATATAGGTTTCGCTTCCCCTTCAGAGAGGAAACCATGTTACCAGTCAGGTCACAGCCCTCCTGAGCACCCCCTTATGGCACCCCCAGTAGGTACAGACTGGCAAGTGATGCTGACGACAGTAAGAGGTGGGCCTTGGGGCCCAGAAGGGGAATTACCGGCTCAGTCAGACTGCTCTCCTTCTCCAGGAATTGTACCACACAGTATGCCAGCTGCAAAAGTGTGAGGTAGAAAGGAGGTGAGGTGTAGGTCCTAGAAGTTCTCAGAGAAGTCAGTGATAGAAGCAAGATCCCAGAAGGGAAGGGGAGGGAGGTGGAGGGAAGGAATTATCCCCCCTGCTCCCTATGCTTCCCCTATCCCAGCTGGAACACCTTCCTGCCCACTCTTTTCTCTGCTGCCTGAGTTGGACATTATCAAGAGGAAGGCAGCTCACCTGAGGGTGGTAGACACTCAGGGACTTGACCTTGTGAAGGGGAAGCAGGACACGGATGAGGAACATCTTGTGCTCTTCTTTAAGGGGCAGGGCAAAGCCATTGATGATGCTAGGAATTAAGGGACATTTGTTAGGACCAAAGGGTCAGATCCAAGTTCAGTGCACCAATCCTCCCAACCTTTTTCAGGCATCTGTGCCCCCACCCAGCCTCTCACCTGCCCAAGATCTCCAGGAGCTCAGCAATCCCGTTGTGATGCTCTGTCTCATAGATGAACCTGAGGGAAGAAAAATGGCTCTTGACAACCCCTGATGTCCCTCCAGCATTCTGTACAGTCCCCCCACCTCCCTGCTCCCACCCCACCTCAGTAGCAGAATGCTTTGCTCCTAAGCCTGGGCTCCTGGCCTCACCTGTAGAAGATGTGGTTGATCTGCCTACGGATATAAGCCCGGAGCCCCAAAAACTTGCCATAGATGCGGTGCAAAATGGTCTTGAGGAAGTCCCGCTCTCGAGGATCCTCACTGTCAAATAGGTCTAGGAGCTAGGGGCATGAGGGAGGGAAAGCAGCCAGTGAGGCAGCAGCCAGGGAAGGTGGGGCCCCGGTGACATAGGTCCTGCCAGGGGAAATGCAGAGGTCCCCTGGAATGGGGGCCAGCAAGTCTTAGAAAGCAGAGTGATGCTATTGTATTGCTGATTCTATTGTATTTGTACTGAGACTTCCAAAGTGATGCCTCAGTACTGACTAGAGAGAGGTACTCTGTTGCTTTTGTTTCCTACCATTATGCTGTTAGTTTCTTAAGGCCAGAGTAGGGTTTTTTGTTTGTTTCTTTGTTTGTTTTTTAACCCTTTATAGCCTCCTCATACCAGACATGGATGAAACCCAATATATTCAGCATAAGGGGGAAGAGCCACTGGGAGACAGATGAG